TTTTTTTTTTTTTGATCGGCCAAATTGATGACTTGATTTGAGTTAAAATGTACAACTTTATGAATTATGACATTTTGGGGTTTAAATTTCACTTCTTGTTGTTTTTTTCTTTGCAAATACTATTTTGCCATTACGAGTAGCCAATTTTTGGTGTGTCATTAATGAGTGAATTTCTTGTGTTTCAGAGGTGTTGACAAAGGAGAACATTATGGAGCCAATGAGAGATATTAGGAGGGCTCTCCTTGAAGCAGATGTAAGTGAGGTTGTTTTTTGATGGTTAGATTTTGATGAGAGTGTCTGACAAAGCGTTTGGATTGCTGATAGGTGAGCCTTCCTGTTGTTAGAAGGTTTGTCCAGGCTGTCAGTGACCAGGCTGTTGGCGTTGGCCTTATTAAAGGAGTTAGACCAGATCAACAATTGGTTAAGGTATGAGGGCTGTTAACAAAATGATGTGAAGGACGTTTCTATGGATATTCTAACATAATCTTGGTGGAGATTACAATAAAACTTGTTGACTTAAGATGCACTCTGATTTCAGGATCCTTTGTTATCTGTTATTTTTTCATTGTTTCTATATTCTTGTCAGCCTATCTTAATTTGTGGTAACTATCTTGGCAGTCTCTGATGATGATTGAGCTATTAGATTTATTTTTTCACAGATTGTATCTGATGAACTTGTGAAATTAATGGGTGGAGAGGTGTCTGAACTTGTTTTTGCAAAATCTGGGCCGACTGTAATACTATTGGCTGGTTTGCAAGGAGTTGGAAAGACAACTGTTTGTGCTAAGTTAGCCAATTATCTTAAGAAACAGGTGCATTTTCAAAAGCTTCTTGGTCAATTTATCCAAGGACTTCTCTAGCTTCCTTAATCTCAATTGATACAGTGTTTGACATTGACCACAGGGCAAGAGTTGCATGCTTGTTGCTGGAGATGTATACAGACCTGCTGCCATTGACCAACTTGTTATTTTGGGTGAGAAGGTATTGGATTTATTTTGTTAATGAAGTCTTCTAGTATACTGACCTGCTGCCATTGACCAACATGTTAACTACAGTCACTAACCTTGATAATCAAAAGTTTAAGGTTTTCCCTTTTTAAATGGAGGACTTTGCTACTTCAGGCTAAACTTTCCTGGATTTGGTGTGAATTATTGTACTGATGAAGTATGATCCAGTGTCAATTAGCCTTTTTTTTTTTTTTCCAATTCCATTTCATTTTAAAGGAATAATTGAAGCAGTGAAAGCAGTTTAATAAGAATCAGAGATTGAACAACTTCTTCGTCAATTTGCTTGCTTGTTAGTTTTTATTCTCTTACTAGACACTGAAGAACCAATGCTGATCCCACAACCTTTAAATAATGGTGTATCTTGTTTAAGATGTTGCTTAATGGATTCAATTATGGTGGATTTTGTTTCTGTGCTAGGAAAACAGAAAATGATGAGAGTGGCCACATAGTTGAAATGAAAATATGGATTTTCTCTTTCAATTTCTACTTTTAGTTATGATTTGAGGACAAATTGAGTGACTATGGTTCTTTTTCTTTTTCTTTTTTTTGGGTGGGGGGGTGGGCATCTTCCATGTAGCTTCTCTTCTGATTTCTTTTCAAATTTTATTGCTCCTCATACTCATTTGTAGCTTGTAACAGGTAGGTGTGCCTGTTTATACAGCAGGGACTGAGGTTAAACCTTCTGAAATTGCAAGGCAAGGTTTAGAAGAGGCCAAAAAAAAGAACATAGATGTAGTGATAATGGATACAGCAGGAAGGCTTCAGGTAATACTTCTTGCACATAAGGTGTTCCTTGACAATTAGATGATTCTACCTAGTAGATCCTGTTAAATGTTTCACATATGCATGAATTTTTTCCTGTCTTCAACAGATAGATAAAGCAATGATGGATGAGTTAAAACAAGTGAAGAGGGTGTTGAATCCTACAGAAGTCTTGCTTGTTGTGGATGCAATGACTGGCCAAGAAGCTGCCTGTATTCAAACTTCCAAGTCTAATTTTATGCCATTTTCATAAAGTTTAAATGCTTCATTTAGCTTTTGGTGCAAATAATGACTTTAGCTATTTGGAAGACATTGCAAATTTCCATCATCACTTATTCTTATTGTCAATTCTTTGATTTGCAGCCTTGGTCACAACTTTCAATCTTGAGATAGGGATCACTGGTGCCATTTTAACAAAGCTAGATGGAGATTCTAGAGGTGGTGCAGCTTTGAGTGTTAAAGAGGTTTGTATTATCAACATTTGGATTTTCTTCATGCATATTAATGTTACTTTAAGGACCTTTTCTTGGTGATGATGTTGTTGTAACTCTTGTCCTGTCTGTTGCTCTTATGCAATCACACCAATGCTAACATTATTATATTTTGTTTATATGGAATTGAAAGTTTGCAATGCAGGCTTAGTTTGATTGATTTAGATTGCAAAACCACAAACCTAGTCATGTAGATAATTTTCTCAATAATGGATCTCAATAATTGTCCCTATGAAATCATCCTCATTGCAATCTTAGTGGCTGTTAAACTCCTTGATTGAGGATTAACCAATCAGTTGAACAAGCAGTATGGAAAATTATGGAGTATTTCAGTTTGTTTCAGAAATAATACCATATTACTGGATATTGTTTTGCTTGAACATAGATCATGGTAATGCTCTTGAGCCAAATGTGCTTCAAGAATTTGGAAGAGTAAATTCAGCCAATTGGAAATTTCTTAACCACAGACACTTATAGACCTGATCATCTGAGACTAAGCAATAAGTTGAGAGATTCATCATAAAACCAGGTTCAGTTGTTTCACAAAATGACACTTTTAAGTGCAGCAAGTCTAGTCTAACCGGAGTTGTTCTTTTTGGCAATTATAATTTGCTACTAGAGTTTATTGTACAGATCCATGCAAAACTGACCCCCATTAGATGTGTGTGTGAAACAGACACGTACCTTCTTTTTTAAGATAGCCAATGGGAGAAAGAGACACACACTTGACTGGTGAACATGAACAGTTCATGCAGTTCAGTATTATTCTAAAATATCTCGGGTCTTTCCCTGGGTATTAGGAAGAGTATAAAAGTTAGATGTTTACTGCTCATGTATCATGAAAGCTCTACAAAACTGCTTCATAGGCATCCACATCAAGGTTTAAATATGAGCTACAAATGTTGAGTCTAGTTGTGCCATGTAAAAGAAAACTATTGACCTGATTAACTTCCCCAAGCAAAATGCCAACTTATGAGGATATGTATTTTTTAGTACCTGAAAATTGTGATAGTCATATTCTTGTACAGTTGCACTTTTCAGTGGTAAATTTAGTAATTGTTGCATGTGTTATGCTATCAAACTCTACAGGTGTCAGGAAAGCCTATCAAGCTTGTAGGACGTGGAGAGGGCATGGATGACCTTGAACCTTTCTATCCAGATCGTATGGCTGGACGCATTTTAGGAATGGGGGATGTTCTCTCATTTGTAGAGAAGGCACAAGAAGTTGTAAGTTTTCTGTAATTGTTTTTTTTTTTTTTTTTTGGAATTATTGCAATATATCAATCCAAAAGGCAATGACAATCCCATAAAAGGAGAAGAGGAAATAAAAATTAAATGACAGTTCAAGAAAGTCACAACAAATAAATATAAATCTCAATCGAGCCCTTCAGTTGATTGATTCTATGCAAATTGAATTTTCCATAGTTTGCAGAAGATTCCATCTCATTCTGTGTAAGGATGACATTTTTATGTTTTGCATTGAATTTTCTGTTTAGATGCGTCAAGAAGAAGCTGAAGAGTTGCAAAAGAAGATTATGAGTGCTAAGTTTGACTTCAATGATTTCCTAAAGCAGACTCGTGCTGTTGCACGTATGGGTTCCATGACCCGTGTTATTGGAATGATCCCTGGGATGGGGAAGGTATGGCATCATGGTTTTCATTTTTTGTTATTATATTTCCCAACACCTCTAACGTCGGTCCTTTGATTTTTCTGTTAACTTAGAAATAGCCAAATAGGTTATGATTTCAGTTGGACAGAAAATTTCGTGTTTTGTAGGTGAAGTGAAAAATGGATCTCTATAGACCATGAGAAGAAACTGATTGGATTTGTTCTCTTGTGTGTTTTCCAAACAGGTTACTCCTGCTCAAATTCGAGAAGCAGAGAGGAGTTTAAAGATAATGGAAGCAATGATTGAAGCCATGACACCTGGTATTTCCCTTCTTGCTACTGCTACTGCAATTTTGGTGTAATTTATATTTATGTTTTAAATATATGATGAAACTTGACCAGACATCTTTAACAATACTGTGATGTAGAAACTTTTCTTTGAAGTTATACATGGAGTGGGGAAAAGTAGAAATGAAAAATTGAGGATATGACATCATGTTAACACAAAAGAAACTACATGTATTGGTGATATTTTGAATTAACTTGTCTTGAAGAATGAAATGATATTTTCCATTAAAGGCACATTCTTTGATGCAATGTTAGAATCTTATGGGTAATAAAAGAGATGAAGACAAAGACACCTTGCAAACACTGTCTCTTATGTTGTTCCTCTCTTTCATTTTTTTTCTCCTTCAAATCAAAATTTTAATTCTCTTCTTGCTGAGGTTGTTCTCTTGTCTATTTACAGAGGAAAGAGAGAAGCCAGAATTGTTGGCAGAGTCTCCAGTGAGGAGGAAACGGGTTGCTCAAGATTCTGGTAAAACAGAGCAGCAGGTGTGTTTGGTTGGTGCAAGTCTATTCTATTGATCACTTCTATATGAAATGTAATTTCTGATATCAATTCTAGGTGAGCCAAGTTGTTGCTCAACTCTTCCAAATGCGTGCTCGCATGAAGAATTTGATGGGTGCAATGGAAGGTGGATCTATTCCGGCACTGAGCAATCTTGAGGATGCAATGAAAACTGAACAAAAGGTGCCTTGCATTGCTGTTTCATAGCAGATATTCTGCTCTTCATTTTCTATTTGCATTTGTTGGTTTAAGTATCAGTGAGCCATGTGAACTTCACAGACATGCTACTTATTTCATGTGAACCGTGTTCTGCGTGGTTGATGTTTGCAATTTCCTTCATCCTTTAGGGCCTCCCCGGTACTGCAAGGAGGAAGAGAAGATCAGAGTTGAGGAAGCAGTTTGCAGACTCAGCATCCACAAGGCCAAGCCCCCGTGGATTTGGGGCTGGAAACTAGGCAATATTTTAAGACAGCGCAAAAGCTAAGCCGCACAATTGATCATAGGCCTTGAATTTTGCCACGAGAGGTTCTGTCATCTTTACTTGCAATGTGAAAATTCATTGTATGCTTGTCCACAAAGTACTAAAAGTGAAAACAATAATGCAAAAGTCAATGTTACAAAAAAAATTCATGTAATTTAACGTTCTTAAGCATATTAGGTGTCCATAATGCATTATTTAAATGGGAAAGCATCAATCTGGTTTCTTTTCTTAGGTTGAGAAATCTTCCATGACAGGGCACTTGAGGGTAAGTATGTTATTTCCATCTACAGGGTTGGTTACATCGCAGACAGAATGCTCGGGCAATTAATAGAAAGTCGTTGAGAACCGTTAAACACTAACAAACTTCCGCCACTCGAGTCATTGCCACATTGCAGGCAATCCATTCCTATGATTCTTTTCTTTCTTTTCCATTGCCTTCCCAGAAACAAAAAGGTTTGATTGTTCTCAGCAAGAGGAAAAATGGCAGGGTCTGACGAGACATTTCCAGCTGCAGATGTTATAGGAGAATTGAATACCGCTCACAACAAGAATAGCTTCCAAGTTGATTCTGCCTCGTCTGACATTGCAACCTCTATTGAAACCAAGGTGCCTTCTCATCCAATTAACCGTATGTTAAAAATTCGAGAATCATTTTTCTTTGATGCCTCAAATGTGTAATGAGTTTAATAACATTTGTTCTTGGTTAAACTCATTTTACAATGGAGGGTGTTATCTTATTGTTATTTGTCATGTTAAAATTAGGAACGAGATGAGGTGCAAAAAGAAAGAGAAAGAAAGGAGAAGATGCAAAGCCTGAAAAGGGGAATTATAGTGTCGGCTGTGCTGGTGGCTGTGGGTGGTGCAGCCTTTGCCATCTTCAGGAAATTAAGAGAGAAATAGAAATGAACATACCAACGGGCAACGGCTATATATTTTGTTGTTAAATCCTAGCTTCTTCTTTTTCTCTTTTTTTTTTTTAATATTATTTTTTTCTTGTTTTCTCTATGCTAATTTTCTAAGAAGGTTCTGTCCAACAAGCAACGAGAACTCAACTAACACCAGAAAGAACAATGTTGTGTAATGGACATATTAATGAAATGAGAACTCTTGTGATTAGAATTTCTGAAACAAAAATATTTTGCACCACAAGAAAATCCTCCTGTCTGCCACCCAAACTATCTCCGTGGAAGCAAATGATTTTCGAAACAACAAAATTAATAAGAACAAATACTATATACTTAATCTTCGCTAGAATGTCGAAAGAGGTATAATTAAAGCAAATAAAGAATCATTAAATAGACTGTAAAAAGCTAATTAAAAAGATAAATTTTCATACGGTGCACGTGGCCATATTGATGTCCTGGAGAGGAGGAAAATTGATGAAAAAAAATCTAGCATATCACAGGGAACATATAAAGAAAAAGTTAAAACTAAACTTTTATTACTTAAATTAATAGATTATCGATCAAAACAACTCAATAATTTTACTGATTTCCTGCTAACTTGGTTGATTTTTTATTTTATATTTTTATAAAGATACGTATACTTGTAAAAGCGTTGTTGGATAAGTAAAAAGATGCACTCAAGTATTAAGTCCAGTTAATTAAGAGTACATGTTCTAGGTTAATGACGACCTGGGTTCAAGTCCCTGTTCCTCTTCCCCTAAAATTGTATATTATGTTTTTTTTTTTAAAAAGAAGAATTAATCAGAATAATCTAACAGTATTATTCGTTTACATCCAACTTGTCTTTGCTTGCTTCAGTTGAGTAGTTAGTGTCCTTAACTACATACAATAAAAGAAGTGCGCTTGATTGCATTTTATCTGAAATGGAAGTCCTTATTTGTACTTTTCTTCATGGGCCTGTTTGATCTGAATAAGGTTTTTCTTAAAACAAGTTTCACCAAAAAAACTTTTGTAATGAATTTTTTTCTTTAGATTAATAACTTTCTTTTATATTTGGTAAGATGTTAAAGTATTTTTTTAAATAAAAAAATTTGTTAGCCTCAACAAACAAGACAGAGGAGGAAGTTTTAAGAGTGTCTGATTTTTAATTTAAATTATATTAAATTACAAAACATTAATTATTTAGATAGGGTCATAAAATATTTTTTTATTATTAACGAGACTTTATTAATTTAATAATAATATTTTACAATAAAATAAGTCTTAAATATAAAACTTTAAAAATTTTTTTTTTCATTCAAATGTAATTATAATTGCATCTCACCTTTCGGGTCAATTAACACCTTGCAAACTTGAGGTGCATTCTCTCTTTTTCATGGGCGGGTTTCGAACCCATCCCTCGACAATTTGTTTCAAATGTAGTTATAATTACCATTAAATTTGTTAAAATGACTAAAACTATCAAAATTTTATTTTAATTTAATTATTAAAAACAATTAATAATTAATAAAATAATTAATATTTATTATTTAATAAATTAAAATAAATTTATAAATAAATACTTTTTAAATATTATAATTATTTATTTAAAAAATTATAAATTAATAAAATTACAATTAAAATTAACAACCTTAACAAAATATTTGTGTCTATTAACCTAAGCCAACCCACTCCAGTGCCTCAGTAATTCAGTGTGCGATGTGGGACCCTCCAACCACGGTGCGCAATGCGCCCCCTCCACAAATTCAATATCTCACCGCCGTTCCCCCAAATTTCATTTTGCCTCCCGCCTTCAAATCCCGCGCCTTTTCTTCTGAATCTGTCCTCATAAATCCTTTCCACAGCAATCTTTTCCTCTCGATCAGGTATCCTTCTTATTCCGTTTGGTTCCCGAGAAACCCAAGGAAAACAAACTCGACATTCTTTTTCTTTTCATCAGGTTTCTCATAACGTATCTTTTTTCCTTTTAGTTGAATTTCTGTAGAATGCTATTCCAATTTATCATTTTAAGTATCATCTATGTTCTGTTTGTTAATCTGTTTTCTGTGATTTAAATTTTTATCCATAATAATTGAATCCAATTAACTTTTAGAATTTTAGAAGTTTTTATAATTTATGTGTGGAATTTGTTTTCTATGGAAATATATGTTCAACCCTAGATCTTGTAAATCTTTGGAGTCATGCGTGGGTTCTTGTTCTTGGATGTGATTCTTTTGTATATTATGTTGTCATCAAAATCTGAATGTATTAAGTTATTTAATTCTGGAGATGATACTAGAAATTTCAAAATAAATGTGGTAGATTATTTAGAGGAAAGTTGATGGAAAAAGAAAATGATTATTTGGAGTAAATAGTCTAAAGTTTAGTGATATGAGGGATTGTCGTTTTGATATTTGCGTGATTATGCCCTTTTTTCTACAGTAATCTGTGAAAGAAATTGTATTGAGTTGTCATGACTTGGTTGTTTTGCAAGTCTTGAATACTTCAAAGTTTGTAAAAATAAATTTTAGCTGTTCCTATGAGATGGTCCATTGTGCATAGCAATTGTCTGTTTGCTGGTTTGCTGTTTACCGTGTTTGATTTTTCTTGATACTAACTTACTAGGCATTTTCATTACTAGTTCGAGACGCATAAAAAATACTAATGACATGCAAGGGGTAGCTTTAGATTGTGTTTTAGTTTGTGCAAGGTTGTTGATATGTATGTTTTGGTTTTGCCCTGTGAGTACCAACAATTTAATCATTGCTTGCCCTGTAAATGTTAAAGTAGGTGCTAGATTCTTGAGTTTGAATAAAAGAGCTTGATTAATGTGCAATGGCAAGAAAAAAGCTGGTAATTAGTCTAGCATGGCTTTGGAAAATAATTTATTTGGCTGACTTCATCTTGTCTTGTGTTCTAAAATCTGAAAATGATTGGTCCTATATGTGTAGGATATGGATACTTCAAATCCTGCAGCTTTTGTCAATGGAGGGTTGCTGCGTATGCATTTGGGACGGAAGGTGCGGGCCGTGATTCAGGTCATACGTTCTGATGTAGGGTCTGTAATTGGAAAATCTACAGATGACAGCCAAATTATTGTAAAAGGCTCCCCACCCATTCCTCCTACCAATTATGTTGAGGTTATTGGTGTTGCTGAAACTGACAATTCCATCCGAGCTGAAATTTGGACCAACTTTGGGGACACATTTGGTATGGCCTTCTGCTTCTCTTTAAGTAAATTTCCTTAAGATGACTGAACCATGCAAATGCTCATTTTTCCAAGGGGAAGTAGAATCTAATTTAACTGTTTATGTGCTCTTGGAACACAGTATAGAAAGTTTGTTCTAGTAGCACTTTTACATGTCTCCAAGGTCACTGTGTCAAGTTTGAATGGGTATGGCAATTGCTGCTGATATCAATGTTTTTCATGATCTGAATGTTATTTTGTATTAACTATTAGGAAATAGGAAGACTAAAACTGCTTTTCTTGTAAGAACCAAAATCCAATGCCAAGCCCCTCCCCTTTCCCAACAAAAAAGAAAAAAGGAAAAAATGGAAAAATAATAAGAAAGAGAACCAATTACCAGCTTTTCCAGTTACCTTAGAGTTGGTCTACATGTTAGCCAGAAGATGAACCATCTTCAATAGGAAGTTAAACGATTTGTTAAGCAGGATACCAATACCAGTGTGACTTCAATTTTACTGAACTGAGTTTAACCCTTCTGCCGCTAGGTTATCATTTCCTTTATGTCATTCAGTTGTTATGGCTGTCACAAGCTCTAAGCTGTCTTAATCCTCTAGAGTCCAGTCTGCAGTTGTTATGAGCTTTCTGCCTTCTTTCAGTAACCCCACGTTTTCCTTAATGATGGCAGACATGTCTAGCTATGATCAGCTTTGTCAGCTCGCAAATGGAGAGTTCAAACACTTGTTCCTATGAAGAGCTATGGATTACCCTTTTTCTTAAGAAAAGTGTATTTCAGTGATGTTACATGCTATGCTTTGTTTGTAAATAAGCAGGATGGATGGATTGATTTGGTCTTGTGGTTTGTTTGGTACTATCCGTGGAAATTGTTGAAGCTGTTTTGCCCTGTGCTATAGGCCTGTAGTTTCAAGAATTATTATCTCCCTTATGAGATTGCTCCCTCTAATCTATTCCTTAATGGACGAACTGTGGCATGTAGCACGCATTCATCCAAATGTCATTATGCATCAAATTAGTCTAATATTTAATAGCTTTCTTGTGAGCAAAGCTAACGTGGACGGCATACGCCCATCTATTGTAGTTTATATGCTTGTGACTTTTAGTTTTTTATTATAATTTTTTTAAATATTTCGTAAACTTTGCTAAAAATAAATAATATTACTCACCAAACAAGAATTCTACTTTAACCATTGTCAAAACCTGTACTTACATGTTTCGTTCATGTTCAATGGACTTTGACACAAATCGACCCATTTGTAGCCATTTCGTGCAGCCCATACGTAGCCATATTGCCACCATTTACAGCTTCATTTGCTGTCAATGGTGCAACCTTAACGTGCATTACATTTGCAGCCATACTTGCACTTTTAAAAAAAAAAAAATTCCTTTGTCCAAACATCATTAATGAATGAATATAAATGGGATTTTTATTTAAAATATTTTAATAATTTTAGTACTTGTTTACACTTAATTTTACAACAAATGGGGTGCTGTCACGTGTCACCTATGATGGCAGATATTTTATTAGTTGAAAGTTGGTGTAAATTTCTTCATATGAGATTGAGTGGTTATTTCCACAACGGAACAAAACCGTTCTCTTGTTGCGAGCTTCTAGGAGGATAATCGCAGCACCAACAAATTAATCAATTTGTTGTAAATATCACACTGCCATTAGTTTTTCAGGATGCTACCACAGATCTCCACCATGCTGTTAAGGTGCTATAAATACCTAATGATAAGATCAAGTAAAGGATCAACATCTCACACAACAAACTCAGCACAATTTTTCTTTATACTCAGATTCATCTTAGTTTCAAGTCATTTAATTTAATTTCAGCTCTACGCTTCAACTTAGATTAGTTTAGCAATTCGGTTCTTCTTTTGTCGAATTCGTAACGGTGAGTTTCGCTGCCTTCAGTAATATTTCTTCGTAATCGGATTGCTTCATTTCCTTTTTATTTGTTTTTCAGATTTCCTTTAATTTAATCAAATGATGTTAACATTTAATTTCATGTTCAATTTCATTTCTGTTAATTTACATTTCATGCTGCTAGTAGATTTTTCATGCTTCGGGATTTATTTATTTTAACTTAATTTACTTTTGTTGCAATTAAATTTCCTTTTAAAACTTTGTTTCAATTCAGTTTACGTATTTAAAGTTCATTTAGATTTTCAGTAGTTTAGCGATCATTTATTTACCTTACAGTCTTAACTTTTCTTGATTACATTAGCTTTGAGGAGTCCTTGGCATCATATCCAGGGCATTTTGTCATATAACCCATTTAGTGTAGGAAGTTCATCCCTCGTTCCTGCTAATCGTCTGATCTTTAAGATGCAATTTACGACGTTCTTGTGAGTTCCACGCTTGAAAAGAGGAGAGGGTCGTCGAAGAAATCTTTCTTGTTTTGAGCAAAGCAAGTGGCACGCCATTTCATCTGTCACGTGTCAAAGAGATTTTTTTGGGATAAAAGTACTTAAATTGTACTTTTTTACAAAGTTCATCCTAAAAATAAAAATCAAATAATGCAATATCTAATAATAATCTATAGAAAATACTCTTTCTTTTTTTCTCTTTCTTTTTATTTCCGCTCGCCTGTCTAGTTGTCTCTGAATTTAAATTTAAAACCTTCAACTTATACTCTCAAGCTATTACATCTTACGACGAATCTTTGAGGCAGATACTTTTGAATTGGATTAGAAGTTAGGTCCATTAATAAAAGAGAGAACCATCCCATGAAAGCAATATCAGTTTGGCTCCCGGAGCCTGAAAGCCAGATTGTTAACCACTTTCTAGATAAATTGGTAAGGCCAGTTGGCTTAGCATTGGTTGGGAAGATTGCTTCCCAGAAACAAACTTTCCCACAATCAGGAAACTACCTTCCGAAGCTAGACCTGTAAATGTTTCAATGCATGGCTAACAAAAATATAATATAATATAATATAATATAATCACAATTGCTTTTGAAAAATCAATCAATATAATCTATGAAACTACTTACCAAAAATTTAAAATAAAAATTTCCCCATACTTTTCAAGTCTAATTGCAGTTGATATATTATTATACTTGAAAAACAAGCCACATAAAGAGAGTCTTGGCCGAACATAAAGAAAGTTGACAAAACATAAAAAAAAGGGTAATTCAGATTTTCATCTGAACATTGTCTGGAACCTTATTATATAAACTAAGAAATAACAAGATAACACCATCTTGCAATGGTTCTGTGAAGTTTTTGGGAACTTTGGCCGCTCAAATACTCCATCATGTCCGCCTCAAAAAAGAACTCGACTATGAATTTCTTGGTAAGGAAATTTGGTACTATACCTGAAGAAGATAAAAATCAGATAATAATTAATCACAATCCAGAAGGATCACATTACTCTAAAAAGAGAAAAGAAAATGGCCCTGATCAACAAAGAAAGTAACTTACAGATTTCCTAGCACGACACTGTTTAAAAATTTCAGTCAATTAAAGGAAGGAACAAATGTTCAAAAATAGACAAATTAATGCATCAGCCTCGCAATCATATTTAATAAACCAAAAGAATACAAGCTTAAATGATGTAGAACCAGTATGTGCAATATCTACATCATCTTACACAAGAGAGGCATCTATATTATAAAGCATGAGAATTAATGCTATATATACGAATTTGCCAGAAGCATAAGTGACTGTTTCAATAAATAATAAAGGATCATGGCATTCAAAGGAACATAATGATTATAACACATACTAAAGTGATTCAACAAAAAATGATTTATGGAAAGCATCAGTTGCATTCTATAGAAGCTGCAAATTGTAGAGTAGCAGGTATAGGTTATGAGGATGTTAAAGTTTGTTTTTAGATCAAAATTACTCACTTGTAGCACAGCTACTGTTCTTCTTCTTCAAGAAAGGACAATGCATCCTGGGTCTGTTCAATCCAAATGGTTTCGAAAGGATCTTGCTCTCCCCAGTCATGGCACTGCTTACTAGGATAGTATCGTTTGTCATCAAGAGAGTATGATATGCAGCGTTTTCCAAAGAAACGAACTTTGGAGAAGTAGATATTGTTTCTCATGTTTCCAGGAAGATCTTCCATTGCATGAGATGCCAAGAAACCGGAAAACAGTGTCACTCCATTAAGGGTTTTCATCTCTTCCCAAGCCGTTTCTGACTTAACCAGCTTAAATATAAGTGGGTTATCACTAACACATGTATAAATAACCAAGATCTCACCGTTGTGCTCAGTCATAAATTTGCCCTTCCACCAAGTTTTGGCAATGAAATTCTCAGGGCATTGGGGTGGAGGCACAGAAAGAACATTCCAGATTTGCTCCACTGGATGATAAACACCTATCCAACCAGTGAGACTTAGACAATAAAAGCGGTCATTGCAGAAAACAACCTTATTCCAAATGCTACTCACAAAAGGCAGACGATTCCGGTGATTAATGGTGACCCACTCTTCTCCCCCAGGATGGCAGGTGCTGATAAGAACAATGCTAGGGCTGAGATGCTTAAGCGTAAAAACCACACAGCTTGAAGATGTTGGGGCACATGAGAAAGCAACGATCTGATATGTTATCTCAAGCCTTGGCAGTTTAATCTTCTCACGGGTGAAGGGGTTAAAGAAGAAAAGACGGTAAGTTTTGGGTCGATATAGCAATAACCAACCATCTTTAGTGTAGCAAACTCTTGAATCATACAACTCTGGCAACTGAATAGAAAAGGATTTGCGCTCTGATGGGTCATAGAAGTCATACATGTCACCACACTTTGGAAAGTACATAAGCAATGGTGATTGATTCAGCACACGAACAGAAACTGCAGCTTTGTGCCAGCTTTTGCACACTGATGAGGCACGGATATTATCTTCTAGCTTTAGTCTGGACAGAATTTTTTCAATAAGCTCTACAGGAAGATCACACCAAGCTCTTAGCTCCAATTTCTCCTCAGTTGCTGATAGAGCCAAGCTACATTGTCAAACAATAATAATAAATGTCATTACTGGTTACAAGATACTGGGAAAACAACTAAGACATGACTGACATAGGAATTTTGACAACGATCTTAAGATGCTTCAATGGAAGTACAAAAGCCCACACTTGATCTACCAGTTTGAAATCTAATTCTTTATATACTAATCCAAGCCTTAAAGCTTGCCATATGGTTTAAGCAATTAAGCCTACACCAAGAACTCAGACCCTAATTTGACTGACCATCCAGAACAGTGCAATGATTTGTTTGTCCACTTAATAAAATATTGAATGAAAACAAGCAACGTATAAGTTTAAGATAAAGATATCCACTAAAACACTATTTCAAAAGCAATTAAATAGCTTTGCCTCACCTCAGCCATCCAGGAGGTAAATGATATAAACTCCAGTTATCATTGCCATCGCAGCTGTCACTGCCATCACTGCAAAGAAAAAAATTCACATTCATTCCAAAAGTATAAAACTTTCCATCTCTATTCTGAAATCTATGAATTAATTAATAACTCTAGGCTTTAAATCATCTTGAGTATAAAATGTTTACCAAATCCAGATAGAAATCAAGCCACAAACCATAAAAAAATGCTCCAAATAAACATTTAATCCAGCATTATCAGACATTCCATCTCATATCCAAGATCTATTATTATTTTGTAGCTCATAAAACAAAACAACATGACTATATGATCCTTATAACATTAAACACTACATAGGACTGCAGCTGAATAAAATAAATTTGAAGAAAGTGAAAAGCATTTAAAAATTTAACTCCAGAATTCAAAATCTATGATTTATCACCAATTGAAAGCCCACATGAACCAAACCAAACCTTAAATTCTCTAAATTCTAAACCCTAACAGGTAGAATCATACCAAAGGCTGATAAATTAAAAAAAAAAAACCCATCAAACAGCTCCAACTTCCATTAAGATTTGCACAGATCTAAGCTGATCTTAAATTCCCAACCCTCAACTGAAATTTTAACTCATCACTAGCCCAAGTTTTTGCTCAACGAAGTAAGGTGGCCATCTAAACCTAATGAAACTTAATGCAACATTCAAAAATTAAACACCCCATGCCCCACGACCCAAAAGGATGCATGTGCAGTCAATCAACGGTTGAATCCTACCTATCGAGGAACCTAACTCAAAAAACCATCAAAATGCTAACTTGCATGTCAATTTCCCACCCACTAACCAAACTGATCTCTGATAACCCAGATAAACAGCAATTTTCAGAATTGAAAACAGTTTTGATAACCCAGCTAAAAAACTCAACTTTATCCCTCCCAAGCCCTTAAACCCCTCCAATTCCCAAAACCCTTGTGCCATTTCCCTGACACCCCAACCACAAGCAACCCAATCATGACAACAAACAAGAATTGAGCTATAAAGGGTCTACTTAAGCTACACAAAAGGAGAAAGCCTTACGAAATCTGCTTCCTTCTCTTTCTTTCAGCCATTGAGAGGACACCAAAGTGCTGCAGAGAGAGAATCAGGCAGTGAAAGAGAGAGAGACACAGGACAGGAGTGGGGAAGAAGGAGATTTTAAAGTAAACTGAAGTGTAAACACGTGTCATTTAGAGAAAATATAGTGCTGTATACGGCTTCTCTTACACTGAGGACGACCATCCACTAGTTGCCACGTTAGAGAATTGTTGGTCAAAATTTGACTTTTTGCCACTTGCCGTTATGTAACTGGTAATGGGTTGCTCATTGTAATACTGGAACTGTGCTGGGTAGAGACAATACACTGCACAGGAAATGTAAAAATATAATTCCTTAAACATTTCTTACACATATGATAATCATTGAGGAATAAAAAGTATAGGGGGGATGTTTTTCAAGCCAAAATGGAAAGTTGATACTGTTTATGTTTATCTTTTTCTGTCATATATCAAATTAGGATTTGCAAAATATGGCATGGGTTTGGTATTCAATCTATCTTGGTAAGACCATAGAAAGAAAGTTTGTGGTCAACTTTTTACTCTATTGTTTTATTAGATTTGATATTGTTTACCGTTGTGACTGTTATAATCGTTAATCGTTAAAATTTAATTCGTTAAAAGAGTTTTGACGTAGTTTTTAATTTTATTACTTGTAGAATGTGATCATTAATTGTTGTGATCGTTAATCGTTATGATCGTTAATCGTTATAATCTAATTTAATAAAAGAATTTTAGCCTAATTTTAATTTTATTATTTATAGAATGTGATCGTTTATAGTTATGACCGTTAATCGTTAGAATCTAATTCGGTAGAATAATTTTGACCTAATTTTTAATTTTTCTATTTTGTAGAATATGTTCATTGTTGTGACAATTATAATCTCTAGAACCATCTTTAGATCTTTATTGATGTGTTTTATACTAATTTGGTAAAAAAAAATTGATCTAATTTGTCAGTTTATTATTTGTAAATTGAAATGTTTGTAAATTGGAGGTGGTTGTTTATTCCTTGTGACCATTATAATTATTAGAATTGTTGTTAGATTTTTGTGTTGATGTGTTATTATTTGTAGATTGAAGATAATCCCTTGTTGTTGTGACTATTATAATTGTTATTATTGAATCGTGATTAGTTCATTGATAATGTGTTAGATACTAATTTAGTCCAATATTTTTTACCTAATTTGTAATTTTATTAATCTATAGATTAAAATTAAATTAAAAATGATCATTTGGTTTGACCATTAAAAATTTTAAAATTGAACTATTGTTAAATTTTTATTGATGTGTGTTAGATACTAATTTAGTAGAAAAATTTTAGTTTAATTTGTAATCCTTTTATTTGTATATTAAAAATAGTCATTTATCATTGTGACAATTATAATTATAATTGTTGTTAAATATATTTATTGATGTGTATTCCTTGTTAATAAATGATGATCATACGTTATTATCACCATTATAATTATTAAAATTATTATTACACATGTAACAACATAATAAATAGCAACCCTATAAATTAGTGGTGGAGCCTTGGTCTAATTTGTAGTACTATTTTCATATTGAAGGAAATGGTGTGTCGTTTAATGCTATTAACAATTTAACATTGTTAAGAGATTTTATTAATGTGTTGGACAGCTTTTGAGATCAATGGTGGTATATTGAGTCATTGATTAAATTTTATGCATTCTAACCATGATAAATCGATAAGAACTTATTTATTACTTTATTTGTTTTAAAATAATTTTTATTTTTTAAATTTTTAATTAAAAATTTTAAAATAATTTAGATATTTATTTATATTATTTAAAAAAAATTTAAAAATAAAATAAAATTTGTGTAATAAAATAATTCATTAAAATAAAAAATATTTATTTATTTAAACAAAATAAAAAATAATTAATTTAAGATAAATTTTAAGTCACAAAATTTTGGTTATCCTTTAACAAGGGATGAAGTAAAAATCACACACATCTATTTAGACTATTTTTGTCCAAGAGCTTGGCTTGATTTATAATCTTCCAATTACTACAATTTTTTAAATTGAAGACGACCTTTTGTCGTCATGGCTGATATTTTTTCTGGTTATCTGTGGCCGTTTCTTTTTCAGTATTTTGTCCCTGTTATCATCAT